GCCAGGAGTGCATGGTTAGACTCGGAGAGGATGCATCAGATAAGAACTACTACTGTTAGTGGTTTTAGCCTTAGGCAGCAAACTATTTTACTCCATACTTAAAAGGCAAGAAGGAACAGTTCCTTCCTATTTACTTAAATACTTGCATTGTACCCACTGCTATGATTCCCAAGTACCTTCAGAGGAGGATAGTCATACAGATTTTCAGCGCTCCTGTAGCACTCTTCCAGTTTAACTAGTGGGAAAAACGATACCGACTTCAGTGTCATGCCAAAGAGTTTTTACAATCCAGGAAGGGAGAAGGGCCAGAGACATTAAAATGTACAAAACTAACTTCACTATTCCCACTCTGGTTTACATAGTGCTGTACACAAGACACTCATGGCTTGTACAAAGTCCTGAGACATCTGAGCTGCATCTCATCCTATGTATTAAACTCCAATTACAGCAACACAGAACCTCCCACTACTGCCAAAACACAGTAGTAAAAAACTGCAATGGCCTATCAATAGGCCATTCATTGACCTATCAATCTTATAACACAGTACTTCTGAAGTACATGCTTCTCTTCCCAAAAGGCAGAGATGTTGAAAACAGGCCAATTAATGGTCTCAGATTTTCACTTGAGTCAGTCTTAAGGCTGAACTTTGGCATAGACTAACATGCGATTGCAACATTAATACATCCTAAGAAGGATGGATACATATAGCAATCTATGTACTGGAGTTAAGAGCCACTGGCTCTTTGAACTTAGGTGATATCTATCAGAAAGACCACCTGCAGCAGAGTAAAGCAACATTTAACTGGCAGCTATAATGTAAGGCATCATGTCTAGCAACTGTGGATGTGGATGCAGCATTTCACCATGGTTCTGTAAGGAGACTCAGAGACACAGGTGGTCTAGCCCACTTTGGGGCTGTAGTCCAAAAGCCAAGAGGCAGGTAAAAACCATGAACCAAGTATATGTTTTCAGTTCAAAGGCCAAGATCAGAAGCCTGATATCATCAGATGTTGGCAGAAGTACAGAAGCCATGTGAGCATCAGGAACCACTTAAGTAAGAACAGGGAGACATCCCAGGTAAGAGAAGCAAAGGGTTGAGGGCGAGTCATGTGTCACACAGCTAAATTAGGTCCCAAATAGATCAGAACTGTTTCAACAGCTAATTCAATGACTTTAACAGGTACAGCTGAGGACACTGGCTCACCAATCATTATGTCACTGGTCCCAGCTGGGGCAGACTAACTCAAAATGACTATGAACAAGCCTGGAACCCCGACACCTTCCAAGGTAATGCTTCTGAGCAGGCCAAAAGTATAACGTGGCACATGAACACCTACAGCAAGTTAAACCACCAAAAAAGATCACTGTGGCTAGCAAGGAGCAGTCATGACAACGACACTTCATACTTCTTGCTTTTGATACTGCCCTTTGTATCACAGGAATTAGTAGAAAGGCATAGAGGAGTCAAGACGATCAACCAAAGGGAAAAGCTTTGGAAAATAAGCCTGTACCTACTCTTTCTGCAGAGCAGTGGTTCTCAACCTTTTCAGGCTCAAGGCACACCTCAGAAAATGTCAGCTCATAGCTTTTTGACAGGGGGAGGGGAGGGGAAGAGAGACTACACATTACTTTAATACACAGTGGCCTATTTTACTGTGCATTAAAGCATCACATAAAAACTGTGCAATTATGCTAATGCGCAGTAAAATAGGCTACTGTGCATTAAGCATCACTTTAAAAATGTTTGCTTTTGGTATTGTGCATAAGGGCAGCCTAATGTGCATTTTAGTACCTCACACTGGAGGAGCTCTCTGCACTTATCTTGTGAATCATGTAAGTGTTTTCATACTAAATGCCAATAATACTGTGCAGCTCTCCAGAGCACTCTTAAAAGATCTCATCACCATGGCTGAGAACCACTGCTGTAAGAGCAAGAGGGGACACGTTGCAGCCCTCTATGGTGACAATATTTTTGGGTAAAATGTAGTGAGTCTTTTAGTTAAAGTACAGGATCTGCGACAGACTCTTACATAACTGGCCAACCGCTACTTTAGGGCTAGAAAGGACTTCACAGACTTCTTCACAGGTTAAACACTACCAGGGTTATTCTATGTGAGTGACACCACTTTGAGACTTCTTTGCGTGCGTTTCAAAATGGCCATGAAGCAGTACTCTGGAGTCTGTCCCTCTCTCGAAGCTCAGACCTCTACCTCGAACACATCACCTGCAGACATTTTTCTGCATCACAAGAGGAGCTCACCTTAACACCCAGGAAGTTAGCCATGCCAGAGCCCATGTACAGCAAGGTAAAGACCTTTTATCAGGGCAGAAGGGGCATAATAAAAATAATAAAAAAAAACCCAACACTTAACACTACTCTGCTTTAAGTTTAGTTTCTTTCAAAGCCACAGACAAACTACTAAATAGCATCAGCTATCTAATTCAGGGCAAGGGACCTGGACATCAAGAGGCTACACCCTGGAGCCATGGCCTCCAAGATGGAGTGTGTATCAATGGGTGTGCCCTGTTTTTTGCCCTGGACTCATGGAACAAGAGATGCCTCAGTAAGTACCTTAGCAGATACTGCACTACAGAAAAGTGATCCTACACACACAGAGCTCACACACTAACAGATCTGCCTGGACAATCATAAAAGGAAATGCCAGTATTTAAGCCACCTTGATCAGCTAGGATGTTACTTTGTACTCCACTCCAGAGTAACCTACAACCACTACCACACCATTTAATCAAGACATAAAAGCCATGCTCCCCTCTTTGCCAGCATGTCTTTAGAGAGCACTTTGCAGATGGGGCCATGTTTCCAGAAACAGAGGAAGAACGTGATCTATTATGACCCATTAGAAAGACTTTTTAAATACTATTTCAGTTCTTCCAAATACCTTAAAAATACTTTGAGTGGAACAATGCAGCAATTCCATCAATAGCCAAACTAACTAATGATGTTCCACCATTATCTTACCTGGACAGTAAGCAAAAACACCTCTGATCTGTCCATCTCTCAGCAAGCACCCCTTTCCAGGAACATGCTGAACAACTCTACTCCTCTCCAAGTGGAACCTCTACTCCTCTCCAAGTGGAACCATATGATTTACCCTTTTACCCTGGTCTTCCAGGTTATGGCATCTGATTTTCCTCAGCAACTCTAGTTGTGTTGTCTCCTGCTATACTTGCCATTGAATTATAACCTGAAAATTCAGCAACTCAGAAAAACATTATTTAATTAATTATCTGTGAACACCAATCAGAAAGTAAGAGTTAAAAACATTACAAGGCATACATCATCGCCGACTGAAGCATTTTGGCCTCAAGATTTTGCTGCAACTTTTTTGGATTCCAACACCAAGGAAATTAGTCAGTGTCCTTCTAACAGTCAGCATTTGCTTTCAACTTGCTCTTGGCTCCAAGGCTGAGGGCCTAACTCCTTCCAAGTTCTGTTCAACTGTAAGCCGCTTACACTCTCACTCCCACGGACGTTACCAAAAAGCTTTCCGATCAGAACATAGCAAGATAAATTTTCAAAAGGAATTGATTCTGTATTGTTATCAGCAACAGAGCTACTGACTGCGGAGGGGAGTCTCACTGCAGTTAATCCAAACTGTCAGTTTAGGTGGGAGCACTAACCTAGGTTAAAATAGCTCAGGTGGAAGCATCCTCTGAAGAAAGCCAAACCTGCATTATTGCATCTGCTGTTGTTGTGAAGTGGGAAGGTTCTGGCCCACATAAAAGCAGAGGACAGATCCTAACCCAGGAACAGGTGAAGTTTGGCCTGCAGACTGGATCAGGCCTACAGCAGACTCCATTTCCCAGCAGCCCCTGCCTACCATCTGCTGCAGCTGGTTTCCATGGAGACCCCAGCACAGGTGACAGTGACAGCACAGGGCAAGGGTTTCCGTGGAGCAGTGCTGGCAGATGCACAGTTGGGTAGGGAGCTGCTCCAAGGCTAGGATATTGCGGCAGTGACCTTGTGGTCCGGAGCCAGGGCAGAGCTGCCATCTGCTGGGGCAGGGGTGTGCAGGCAGCAGATCACAACTCTGCTCTGGACCACTCTGTCACTGCTGCAAGATCCTAGCTCCCAAGCCAGCCATGCACCCTGCCAGCGCTGCTGGGGCTGGTCTCCATGGAAATACCAGCTCGCCACTGCTGGGGTCTCCACAGAAACCAGCTGCAGAGACCTAGGCAGGGGCTGCTGGGAAATGGAGTCTGGCCATCAGCCAGATCTGCCATCTGGCTCACCCTGTCCTAACCTATACTCCCACAGCATCAACTAATCTCAGGTTTTAAACACCACTGAAGTCCAGCTGGATGTTTTTCCTAAGTAGACTGAAATAGGAAGAGGTTAGGCTAATCATGCAGTAAAACAAGAATTTCTGCAGACATGAGAGGTGCATCAGAAAACTCCCAACAGTTTCATGCCTCAAGCTGCTACTCTACATTCAAATGTTTTAAGCAAAGAAAGTGGAGATACAGCTCATGTGGATTGACTGGGATTTTTGAGGACTGATTGTCACCATTACTGAAACATCAGAACAAATCCCTATATGCTCAAGTTTGTTGCTCAGGCAACCACCCCCAGAACTCATCTGTCACATTGCTACTGCAATCCACATCATACTTTAAGTGCACATAACTATGAAAACAGACATGCATGCTTTTTGGGCAGTTTGTACTTGTTTTATTACAATTTTAGCTGTTAGTATTTTCATATCTGGACATCTTAAAAGGATTTTTTAGATTTACAACTTCAAAAGACACTTTTTACAGAATTATAAATCTTGTTGATGACTACTTACTGCACTGTATACAACTTAACTGCCCCCTTCCTAAGGGGGTCCACCCCCAAATAGCTCCAAACAAGTGAAAATCAGAGATCTGTATTCATGCTCAAGCTACAGAAAAAAAACTCTGTTAAAGAAAAACAGTGATAATATTAATTTGACAGTTCCACAATTTTAAGATTCAAGAAAAGCATACACAAAACTATATTTTATCATTTTATTAGGAATAATTCCAAGTGGGTTATGAAGAAACTAATCCATAAAGTTTGATGAATTTCCAAAATCTCTTTATGAAGATATGTTCACCAATAAACAGTAAAACTTCAGCAGAACTATTATACACTGGGCAAAAACAGTCAGGCTGATACCAAAAAGCAACATGCAACATAAAAAAAAGGATACAATATAAAGGAAGACAATCTGCTGAATATTAAAAACAACCTAAACATGAGCTCTTCGCAACCAGCGCAGGACTATTCTACCCAACAAATCCAATTCACACAAAGGCAATTTGGGCTGACAGAACCCAAGGGTTAATAAAATGTTCCTCAGTGCAGTAGATCTGAATAGTGTTTTAGAGAATTTTCTTGGCTGGAACAAGCAGTATTAGGAAGTCTTTTTTGGCAAGGGAGAGAAATAAATACAAATGGAATGCTACATTTTTAAATCAGCAGACTGTCTGAGGAATGAAATAAGGTATCAGTTAACTAAAGTAGCAGGGAAAGAGACTTTAAAACATTAATTTATTGGGGCTCAGAAAGTATTCAAAACAGATTTTGAAGATGTCACAAGAACTATATTCAGGCATTTAGGCTAACAAGGGAAGTAAAATCAGAAGATATACTCTTTTTTTTTTCCAAGTTAAGGAGATATTTTTACCCAAGCCCATTGCTACCTCTGCAACATGTAGCTTGGTAAACAATAATTGGCAACAAAATAAATTGAAACGCTGCAATATCCTGCCCAAATCAGTTCCAGATACTGTTTAATAACCAAGATGCAAACTAATTTTTTTTTTGTAACAAGCCTAGACCACTTATATCAAACATGTCCCTGGTGAAAGAGTCATCCAGTTTGAGTTAGCGTTTTGAGAGCTCATTTGACAGCCAGTCGAGTCCCTCATACAGACCAGTTCCTTGTGTAGCACAGGTAGCTTGGACATACCACTGTTAATAGGGAACACAAAGGTAAAATTTAAAAAAAAACAAAAAACAAACAAACAAACAAACAAAAAAAATCGGTAAAATAAAGACTAGAAATTATAACTAGAACATAATGGTGATAAATACTTACAGGTAATTTATGCCCAAGTAACACGTAGTTGGTTTTAAAGAATCAACTATTGTATGTGTCTCCCAAGTACTTTAATACTGCATGAGTTCAAAGAATAAGGGGAAATGCAAGATGTAAACCAGTTACTCGCTTTTACTGAAAGCTACTTAAAACCCATTAGGAAATTTAAGAGGGAAATTATAAAGACATACAGTACTTTTGTCAATATGAAGTGATGAAGGAAGTGACATGCTAGGTTGCAACTGATTTATTCATTCAGTAATTCTAAATTTAATACTTATGCAGATGAAGCCTCTGTTCACATAGGAACAATTTTAATGCATGTATTTTCCCCAAATTACCTTGAAACAGTGAAGTATTCAAACTTTCTTCAAATAACCAAGAAGAAAAGTAACCATGTTTTGTTAACACATCATGGTTAGGGACCTACCGAAATTGCAGCAGAAGTACACTGCATGGTGGGTCCTTTAATTTTACAGTTTCCACCTCGCCCCTGATTGGCAGAGGGGTCCCACTGCTCACTCCTGAGCAGCAGAGGTGCAAAATGCCATTTTAAATATGGCGCAGTTTTTGCCTTCCACCGCTGATTGGCCAAGGGGCTCTGGCAGCCCAGATGCTTGTTACTGAAAGGCCAGGAGGCAAAAGCACACCATACTTAACATCACAGTTTTTACCTTTCTGCCAATAAGGATAAGCAGCAGAGCCGCTCTGCTTATCAGTGATGGAGGGGAAGGAAGGGGGAGCATAGGGGAAACTACAAGATGAAAGCAGCTCTGAGCAGCATACTTCTGCTATGATTTTGGTATGTCTCTAGTCACGATTTAGGATACTCAGTTGTCTAAAACATGGTAGGTAATGACATTCTTTACAACAACTGCAACTTTCGCTATGCTACTGAGAACCAGCTTCATGCTTCAAACTTCACTTATTCACAGAAATAAGTGTGTACAACACATTTAACATCTTTCCACGGGAGAAAGATGAAGGGAAACCTATACATACCGTATAAAAACTGAACTACCTGATAAGCAAACAATACTTGAGTACTCACAGTTCTGTTACGCAGAGACTGAAGACCTAGTTTATCTGTCATTTCACTGATTGCCATGGCATTTGGCAGGTCTTGTTTGTTCGCAAACAGAAGCAGTACTGCATCTCGCAACTCATCTTCCTGAAGCTAACCAAAATGAGAGCATGTTAAATAAAATGAAAGAAGGCAAGTGAAATTAACTAAAGAAAAAACAATTAAGGGTGCAGTCTTGTAAACTGTTCACAGTTACTTCCCACAATCGACTGTCAGAGGCTGTTTGTCAAGTTAACCAAGAACCCTGGTGGATCAGTAATGCTGAATTATAGAACACATCTACAGTATTTTAAGGCTTCCTGAAACTTCAAAACCCTGAGACACTGTTAGAGAGGCTGGCATGTTCACCATTTTCAGAAAAGCTAACTTAGCAGAGTAAACTTAACACATGAACATTCAGTTTGAAAGGTTTTGATAATTACCATTTTCTGCAGCTCTTCTGCTGCTTCCTGAATTCTCTCTCTGTCATTGCTATCTACCACAAAAATGAGACCCTGCATAAAAAAAAGGAAGCCTTGAGTCATCTTAAAGTATACAGCATTATTTGAAGAATGAAATAAAAGAATCAACACTTAGAAATGAGTACCACTGCTGCTGTGTGTTATTCCACCCCCACCCCCACCCCACTGGCGTTGTGTTTCACCTTAAGGTCTGTCTTGATCCAAAATCCTACCGAATATAACACATGAGTTTTTTTGCCTCAGTCTGGCTTGCTGGTATCAAATGATGGGGTATAGCATTGATTTCTGGGGTAGTAATTACCTGGGCTTTGTCTTCAATTGGTGGTGTGCGTTTGT